TGCCTCTCTGGCAGCACCGGTTAATCTTAACTGGACCAGCTGGGCCCATTCCTCCAGTGGCCACTCCTTAATGTTGGCTACCTTTTCAAAATGCTCGAAGAAGCTTTCTGTCTTTTCGGGCACAAATAGAGGAATGTCCTTTTCCCTAACCTTAACATCTGGTGAGTGTGATACCTGGGTGGTGCTCTCTGGCAACCCACGTTCGATCCTTTGCTCAGCCAGGGTTCTATTTGCTTCTATCTTCATTTGCTTTGTTCTCTCTTTTTCCCTTTCGTCCTGGGATTTTTTTCCTTCTCTTGTACTAACTCCACCTCCCTTATTCTGGTTTTCTCTTTTTCTACCTCCAGTCTGGTTTTCTCTTTTTCCCTCTCGGCTTCATTTTTCATCTGGAGTTCTAATTTCATCTTTTCCAGCTGGAACTGTCGCTCCTCACGCTGTTGTTGCATCTGTAGCTCTAACTGGAATTTTTCCAAACTCCTGTTCCTGCTATTCCTACTACTGCGGCTACACTTGCTGCTCCTACTCGATCCTTGGGATCTCACTTCATCCTGCCCATCATCCTCCTTTCCACTTTCAGCTCCTTGTTCTGGCGCTTCACTCTTGGCTCTCAACTGCCTTAGAATCTCATCCTTCATCCCGGCTATTTTCGATGCCTTCAACCTGATGCCACATTTTTCCACATATTAGTTCCAACTGTTCCCGGGTGCAACCATACAAGTCCTTATTCTTGCCTGACTCCACACGCGCTTACACCTTTTCCATCTTGTCCCGTGAGTCTTCCCGAGAGATAGAATATATACCTGCGGTCACACAGTCTACTTATTGCCACAAGGGGTGTACCAATCCACTCCCGGACTGGGTGTGGGTGTGTCAGTTCACTCTCCCGGACACAGGCCCCCAATTATTATGAATGATAAAGCTGATGATAATGTTGTTGTTGGTCGTCCTTCCTTTCGGACAAACAAACCAAAATTCCATAGAGTGCTTACTTAGACCAGGAGATCATCCTGGATGCTTCTGGCACTTGGAGACGGGCTCAACGTCACATGTTTAGGGGATGCGGCTCCAACACTAACCTCGTTGTCACGTGCACACACCCACTCGAGCCGCCGTGTCTCACCACTCTCTCCTTAGGTGGTATGTTCTCCTCAATCCCCTTTTCTTTGATATTACTCCATACTACCCTGTCCACAGCTATGGTTCTTGGTTCTTTCTCTCTCTTTCCTACTTTCTGAGAAGCCTCACTAGGACAAGGGCAAACACCTGCAAATTTGAATACATTTACTGGACAAGGCACATGGACAATACATATACACGTATAATAATATATCTCCAACACTCTATACTACTGTAGACAGGTTGCACTCCAATACCATCAGGACTATCATCTGCTTGTCAAGTGGTATCCTAACTCCTGACTCACCATCTAATACTAACAACTTCATCAAGTAGGTCAAGTCTTATAAGACAATGTTGCACTATCAGCCTCACCAAGCAGATAAATCATGCAGTACAATATGATATGGCGCTACCAACTCTGGAACATATAATATCTGCAAGCAATTCAGCCTATGGCTATAATTCTATAAACATCAGCATAAATATTCCTTGATAAACAACAATGATCAATCAATGACCCTATCAGTCCTAGAACACATATGTATGTCTCTGCAAGTAATCCAGCCTACGGTCGTAACTCTACTTCAGTATAAGTACTCCTTGGCACAAAAATTGGTAATCAAGCACCCACCTTTCACTGCGTCTTGCACGCTAATGACAACCAAACACTCTACCAACTACCTACAAGTAGTCAACAAGAACTTTCCTTCCACATCTGGGAGTTCACTATTCTGACATTATCAGGTTCTGCCAAGTTTATCTACCAGAATCCTCCATAGCTCTTCCAGGCTGCTACACCATGATGTCTTCCTTGAGCAACAATGGTACTTCACCACTGGTATCACAGAAGCATGAGAAACTTTATTCCATTGCTCCTCTTCTCACAGCTTGAGGTTCTCTTCCTCACTGTATGGCTGCTCTTCCACAGAGCTCAGTACCTTCCACAACCTTTGAGTCTCATAAACTACTCCCTCTCTGCTGGCTTCGAAGTTCTCAGCAACTCCTTCCCCAGACAAATCTGCAACCCATTGACACGCCAACAAAAATGTTTCCCTATAAACACATAAACGAAATAAACCACACAATATGTTTGCATCCAACATCTCTCTGCTCTCTACATGCTGTGAGTGTGGACTCCCCCGTTTGGGCTGGTCCATCCTCCGCCAGGTCCGGCGGCCCTGAGGCAGCTGGCCCCTCAGTTGCCCTCCAGCAGTCAGAGTGGATGGATGTCGCTCCGCCCTCCAGGACGTTCCTCCATCTTTACTCTCTTATTTTAGGCCTTCTGCCTTAATAAAATATGCCCGATGTATCAATAAACATTCGCTACGATCGCTGGGCACACGATCAACTATAGGCAATCACTGTAAACTGGTTAAAATTGTGCTTACCACAAAAAGGTCTCTTGCAGGGCGCTCTTCTCGATGGGGCAGCGACACTCAGGGCCCCTCAGGCTACCCACAGAACTGCTTTAACTGCCCCCGCAACACCTTCTGCAGTTCCTGACGTGAGCTGACACGCCTCCTAACTTATTCCTCAGTCGAGACGGCTATCCACTTCCTTCCTCTTGAAGGTATATCAAACAGGGGTTCCTCTCTAACAGGGACTCAAACGGAGCACGCCCTCCCCTCACGATTTCCTCGGCTCAAGTGAGCTCAAGCTCCTCTCAAGCGAGCCTAACACCTGCAGCAAACTCTCCACATCTTGTGTCAAGTCATTTACTTATTTTTTTATTCACTGCCCACATTCTTAAATTATCTATCAAATCCGACCAATTATTTTACATATGAATCTTCATGTCTATATTTCTTTGACCTCTTAGTTAGGTCAGGCCTGATAGAATAATTCTCAAAGGGGAGACTCGTTTTTCACCTATTTGGGATCATAACATAGGTTAGCTCTCTTGCTCTGTGCTGCTGTGTGCTACTGTTGCTGCTGTGTGCTGCTGTTGCTGCTATGTGTTGCAATTGCTGTTGTGCACTTTTGCGTGTTGCTGTTGCTGCTGCTGTTGCTGCTGTGTGCTGCTGTGTGCTGCTCTGTGTTGCTTTGTGCAGCTGTTGCTGCTGTGTGCTGCTGTTGCTGCTATGTGCTGTTGTATAATGCTGTTGCTGCTGTGTGCTGTTGTATGTTGCTGTTGCACAGCACCACACAGCAGGTGTTGCTGCTGTGTGGTGCTATGTGCTGCTCTTGCTGCCTTGTGCTGCTGTGTGCTGCCTTGTGCTGCTGTGTGCTGCCTTGTGCTGCTGTGTGCTGCCTTGTGCTGCCTTGTGCTGCTGTGTGCTGCCTTGTGCTGCCTTGTGCTGCTGTGTGCTGCCTTGTGCTGCCTTGTGCTGCCTTGTGCTGCCTTGTGCTGCTGTGTGCTGCCTTGTGCTGCCTTGTGCTGCCTTGTGCTGCCTTGTGCTGCCTTGTGCTGCCTTGTGCTGCTGTGTGCTGCCTTGTGCTGCTGTGTGCTGCCTTGTGCTGCTGTGTGCTGCCTTGTGCTGCCTTGTGCTACTGTGAGCTGCCTTGTGCTGCCTTGTGCTGCCTTGTGCTGCTGTGTGCTGCCTTGTGCTGCTGTGTGCTGCCTTGTGCTGCCTTGTGCTGCTGTGTGCTGCCTTGTGCTGCCTTGTGCTGCCTTGTGCTGCCTTGTGCTGCTGTGTGCTGCCTTGTGCTGCTGTGTGCTGCCTTGTGCTGCCTTGTGCTGCTGTGTGCTGCCTTGTGCTGCCTTGTGCTGCTGTGAGCTGCCTTGTGCTGCCTTGTGCTGCTGTGTGCTGCCTTGTGCTGCTGTGTGCTGCCTTGTGCTGCCTTGTGCTGCCTTGTGCTGCCTTGTGCTGCTGTGTGCTGCATTGAGCTGCCTTGTGCTGCCTTGTGCTGCCTTGTGCTGCTGTGTGCTGCCTTGTGCTGCCTTGTGCTGCCTTGTGCTGCTGTGTGCTGCTGTTTGCAGTTCATTTTTGCATGTTGTTGTTGTTGTTGTCGTATTCCTGTCTAGTCTTCTGTTGTTTGATTTGAGGTTGTGAGTTACCAGGACCATTAACTCTCTACCATCTGCTGGCAGAGGCTCACTGATGGAGCCTCTGTACTCATTTGTGTTTTGATATTCCAATCTTTCAAATTTTCACTTTCCTTTTATTATGAGTACTACTACCCTCCTCCCCCTGTCTTTTTCTTTCTTTACTTATTACTTACTTTTCTTATTATTTATTTCCTTATTACTTATTACATATTTTGTCCCCTGGAAATATTGCATCCGAACTCGTACCATTTATTTGTGTTTCTACTGCTGCAATTAAATCCGGTTTTGTTTCACTAATCTTTGCTTTAAACTCCTCTGCTTCGTAATTCCGTCATCATTTGTGTCCCATATCTTAAGATTATACTTTGACACACTATTTCCAGAATTATCTGAGCCTTTCTTTCTATTTGTTTCTATTGGTGTGGGTTGTGAGAAATTACTGCAGTACTGTGATGAGAGGTTGTGAGACAGTAGGAGTTTGGCATGAGGGGAAAGGCTGCGAGTCACAGAGCTGGGTTGGGATGCAGAGACAGGCCGAAGAGACAGTGGGGCGGTGAAGCAGTAAAGGCTGAAAGGCAGATATTGACTAAGAGGTAAATGGGGGCCTGAGAGGAAGGGAGGGGCTGTGAGGCAGAGAGGGGCTGAGGACAAATGTATTAGAGCTGAGCGGTTAGAATGGGTCTGTGATGGTGAGGAGATGTGAGGCAGAGCCTGGCAGAGGGGCAGTGTTGGGCTGAGAGGCAGGGATGAGGTGAGAGGCAGAGCTGGGCTGTGTGCGTGTGTGTGTGTGTGTGTGTGTGTGTGTGTGTGTGTGTGTGTGTGTGTGTGTGTGTGTGTGTGTGTGTGTATTAGTTTATGTACATATACTGATATTAGACCTGACCTTACACAGATGTATGCGCTGTGTGTGAAAGATTACGAGTTCCACATCCTGGACAACGCCTTCCTGGTTCACCGCCCTGGCATCAAGAAGAAGCAGAAAGACAGCACCAGGGAGGCTATTGTATCCACTCAAACCAAGCTCATCAAAACACAAATTATCGAAGAATATACGAATATTTATGGAAGAAGAGAGAAATGTGTCATGTAGTGATATATATATATATATATGTATATATGTTTCATTGAATATGACCGCATATTCTGTATTTATTATTTTCTGGTTTAGGGCTTCTATCCCTCTAACTATTTTCTTAGCATCAGGGCTTAATTGAAATAGGAGTTCTCCAAAACTCATTTTCGTACTTTTAAGGTGAAGAAAAGAAGTGATTTACTATAGAGTGTATGTACACTTATTTGTATAATTTGCACGACGTTTCGAACCTCCATGGTTCATTCTCAAGTGAACAGATCTTACAATACTAGTTGATTTTATACCCGCATTAGGTCAGGTGATAATACAATGAAGGTGAAAACATGGGGGAATACATAAGGGATAAACATAGGGGCTGCAGAAGGCTTATTGGCCCATACGAGGCATCTCCTATCTAAACACAAAGATTAATCCAGTGTAATTGGCCTGTTATGTTGAACATTGTCTTCTGTGTTGGCATCGATATGTTCTTGTCTTGTCCTTACCCTCATGGTGGGTAGAGTAAATAGTTCCGTGATTTGGGTGTTCATGGTAGGTCGCTCTATTCTTATGTGAATTGCCTCAAGAATTTGTAATCTTCTTGAATCTTGGGTTTGGTCTATTATGCAAGTATTCTTGTTCAACATTTCTCTTGTTAGAGTAATGTCATGGGCTTGTCTCATGTGATTCCTAGGGGCACCAGATTGAAGATGGCATGTCAAACGCCTCGTCAGCTTGGTCGACGTCATACCTATGTACTTACATTGAAGGTTACATCCTTCGTGGGGGCAAGTGTACATGTATACAACGCTTGACTGCTGTAGAGGGTTCTCCGTCGGCTTCGGGCTGTTTTTGATAAGGAGTTCGGAAGTCTTCTTGGTTTTGTAGAATATTATCAGGTTTATGTTTTGGTTAGGAGTAGTGCTTTTTACTCCTTTACGGATTATTTCTTTCATTATTCTTTCCTCTTTTATATGTTCACTGTGCATGGTTGATTTGTAATATAATTTTATTGGGGGTGTTGTGGTTTCTGTTCTAGGTTCTGAATTATACCAACGATCCAAGTGTCTTCTTATAGCAGCGTTTATTTCCGCGTTGCTATATCCGTTGTTCACCAATACCTGAGTTACTCTTTCAAACTCTCTACTCACGTTGCTCCATTCAGAGCAGTGGGTAAGCGCTCGACGAATATAAGCATTGAGAACACTGGCTTTGTATCTTTGGGGCACTCACTTCTACCGTTCAGGCATAATCCTATGTTGGTGGGCTTGGTATATACGTTGGTGCTTAAAGAGGTTCCTGTTTTTGTTATTAGTACATCCAAGAATGGCAGACTGTTATTTTCACTATTTTCATGTGTAAATCGGAGTACTGACTCTCTCTCTAGGTGTCTTTTTAGGTCAATTAGTTCATCTGAGTCTTTTACTATTACGAATATGTCATCTACATAACGGCAGTATACAGTTGGTTTTTGTCTGCTACTGAAGACCCTATCTTCGATGGTTCCCATATAAAAATTAGCAAATAAAACTCCTAAGGGGGAGCCCATTGCTACTCCGTCTATTTGTAAATACATGTCTCCTTGTGGACTGATGAAAGGGGCTTCCTTTGTACATGCTTCGAGAAGACTTTTCAAGTGTGGCTCGGGTATGTCTAATTTGGGGGTGCTCTCGTCTCTGTATACTCTGTCCAGTATCATTCCTATGGTTGTGTCGACTGGGACGTTGGTAAAAAGGGATTCAACGTCCAGGGAAGCGATGATTCCATCGGGCTGGGTAGATTTGATAAATTCTAGGAAATCTGCTGATGATTGTAGACTAAACTTACTTGGAGTGTATGGAGTTAGGAGTTCATTGAGTTTCTTTGCCAGGTGATAAGTTGGGGTTGGTATTTGGCTGATTATAGGGCGTAGTGGGTTACCTGGTTTTATGCGTCTTAACATTGCCGTAGGCATATCCTAAGCCATAGTCGCCTTGAAGTTTATTGAAATGCACACTACCTTTCTTTGCGTTGATTGCTGTAATTGTTTTGTTTACTTTCCGCTTAAGGTCTTCTACGGGGTTCCTCGTGATTCGTTGAAATTTGGAGTCGTCACTTAGGATGTCGCTAATTTTGTTCATGTATTCATGGGTAGGAATCAATACTCCTAACCAAAACATAAACCTGATAATATTCTACAAAACCAAGAAGACTTCCGAACTCCTTATCAAAAACAGCCCGAAGCCGACGGAGAACCCTCTACAGCACTCAAGCGTTGTATACATGTACACTTGCCCCCACGAAGGATGTAACCTTCAATGTAAGTACATAGGTATGACGTCGACCAAGCTGACGAGGCGTTTGACATGCCATCTTCAATCTGGTGCCCCTAGGAATCACATGAGACAAGCCCATGACATTACTCTAACAAGAGAAATGTTGAACAAGAATACTTGCATAATAGACAAAACCCAAGATTCAAGAAGATTACAAATTCTTGAGGCAATTCACATAAGAATAGAGCGACCTACCATGAACACCCAAATCACGGAACTATTTACTCTACCCACCATGAGGGTAAGGACAAGACAAGAACATATCGATGCCAACACAGAAGACAATGTCCAACATAACAGGCCAATTACACTGGATTAATCTTTGTGTTTAGATAGGAAATGCCTCGTATGGGCCAATAAGCCTTCTGCAGCCCCTATGTTTATCCCTTATGTATTCCCCCATGTTTTCACCTTCATTGTATTATCACCTGACCTAATGCGGGTATAAAATCAACTAGTATTGTAAGATCTGTTCACTTGAGAATGAACCATGGAGGTTCGAAACGTCGTGCAAATTATACAAATAAGTGTACATACACTCTATAGTAAATCACTTCTTTTCTTCACCTTAAAAGTACGAAAATGAGTTTTGGAGAACTCCTATTTCAATTAAGCCCTGATGCTAAGAAAATAGTTAGAGGGATAGAAGCCCTAAACCAGAAAATAATAAATACAGAATATGCGGTCATATTCAATGAAACATGTTTGAAAGAAAACCTGCTGCCAGTATACACCAATATGTATATATATATATATATATATATATATATATATATATATATATATATATATATATATATATATATATATAAATATATATATATATATATATATATATATATATATATATAAGTATATATATATATATATATATATATATATATATATATATATATATATATATATATATATATATATATATATATATATATATATATATATATATATATGGGAATAATTTGGAGCAAGGTTCGGATTTAGGTTGGTTCAGGTCGTCAGAACCTGCTAGGGATCAACCCTGGCATGTTGATCAGGGATCAACATGCCAGGCGTTACACAGATCAATTTAAAAAAAAAAACTCAGAAACTCTCAGGTATTGATCATTAGGCCTTCTGCAATTTCCTCTTGTTCTTATGTTCATGAACCAGTATTACAAAAACTTTGTTTTATACCTCACACGACACCTTCCTATTCAAGTGTCGTATTTCAGTAACTGTACATTTGAAAATGTGTTGATAAACACGAAAGCGCTCACGTCATTTCTTGTTTTATTTTCCTTCTTTCTTAAATATATCCACATTATTCAACAACTGTTAATTTCTTCATGATTTGCATGAGTGTATATATATACATATATATATATATATATATATATATATATATATATATATATATAGATATATATATATATATATTATATATATATATATATATATATATATATATATATATATATATATATATTGTGACGGAGTTCCCACCCTTATAATTCTCCCACGCCTGCAGTAAGAGTCATGTCTACTTTTCCCAAGCGTTCTCTACGTTGCAGGCTACAATTTGATATATGGGAGAGAGTGAAGTGTTCTCGGAGAGCCGAGAAATTTGTGAAATAGTGATATTTTGGCCTGTGGTTTAGGCCCTTTAGGGAGCCAAGATGGCGCTTACCTCTCTGATCTCCCGCCAAAACCGTGTGACGTCAGTGGCACCGGATTGGTCACCGACAGCAAGGTGGCACCGGGAGCCAATGAAAACCTCCCATAGCAAAGGTGACGTCACGAAGGAAGGGGGTCCGGCCAGCGCGCCGGGCTGGCGCCAGCAGTCATACACGACACGTCATAGAGGTCGGACGTGCGACGAGTGGTCCTGTCTGTCGGACAGCTGTTTCCCACTACCGTGGATTTACGCGTCACCTGAATTCCGCCAGTACTCTGAGAAGTCTTCCCTAGTTCATGTGTTGAACCAGAAGAGGGAATTGACGGTTATTTGAGCAACAAGTGCTCCAGTCAGGTACTGTGCCAGTAGCAGTGAAGCCGTGCAGTGACGTATGTTGACGTCTGTGGCAATTCACCAGTTCGTGACAGCGTAGTGGCTGACAGAGCCACTGGGTAGCTGAGGAAGAGAGGACTATTTGGGGAACCGAACGACTGTAGCTGAGACGTAGGCGACAGCCGTTGCTGGGAGAAGACGACGGCCAGGAGACCGACTCCAACCTTCAAGAAGTCAAGGAGGAGGACGGACCTGCAGTGAGGAGGCACGGAGACGACGCGCTAAACGGTGGGACGACGAGAGGCTCTGATAGGACACGACGACGTGTGGTGTGGGGGCGTTCCCGACACGAGGACCAGGAGCTACATCTCGACTCTCATCGGAGGATAGGGTGAAGTAGGTGGTTCTAGTTCCCTCCCCCATTCCCCTTTAGTTAGCTATATTATTTGGCTATATTTTCTAGCCTGAAGATTTTATATGTCGTGAGCAAGTCTCACCTATGTCACGGTAAAGCACCAGGGTGCTAGACAGTA